TTAATGGAGTGGAGGAAAAGAAAGATGAAGGATTTTAATATTACCTTGCTTGGTTTAGGAGGGAAGGAGAGGAAAAATAATTGTATAAAGACAACTATACCTTATCTTATGAAAAAGCTAAATTATAATTACAATATATAAATATAATCTTCTCTTTTCAACCAAAAATATATAACTGTAATCATAATTATATAGTTAACATTTATAATTACAAATGCATTAATGTTGTCTCAAGGAATGTCCTTTTGTGGCATCCATTTGGAAGAAAATTCTTCTCATGAATATGTGTATTGATTTCTATGGAAAAACGATTGACTCATGATTCATTGACTATCTACATAGTCTTCATCTTGAAACATCTTGAAAGATTGGCATTAAAATTACTTGCTAGAAGCTATGGGAAATACGTAACAGATGCATCTTCATTGAGGAGAATATTTAGTTGATGATGTGCTTTCCCATATCATAATTACTGTTTATCATTCCTTAGGCTCTTTTTTTATTCTTACAATTTTGCATAATGTGTTAATTTCTCTTAGGCTGATTGCGGTTTTGTACAGTTTCCCTTTGAGTTAATGAAATTCCCATTTACTAAAAAAAGAAAACCCAACAATTTTTTCCAGCGTGAAGATAAAAATTAGAAACTATACATGCATTATTAGACCAATTTTCAGAACAATTGCATGCTAAAAATGGGAATAAATCAATCCAATATTAAAAAAAAAAGGAAAGAAAGCTGCAACTAGTACTCGTCAAAATCGTTAGTGTTGTTTACTTCAACTTAAGACATTGTGGAATATTATCCCCCTCTGTTTTTTTTGGGTGCAATAATATTATTCCTCTTTTGGCCGCACTCCTTATTATTCACACTCAGATCATTCATGTGCTTCATATTAACTGGAGATGATCACGTCTACACGGTGGATGGTGGTTGCAGATCAGGTCTGGTGTGATAGGAACGAAATTGTGGAGCAGGGAGGCTCAAGCACATGTAATAGATTTTATTCGAGAGAGGGTATTTTTGAATTATCATATTATAACATGGATAATTTAATCATAATGGAACAAAATAATACCTTACCCTCCTCAGCCTCTCATTATTTTGGAGGAGAGAGGAGGGAATCCCTTCCATTTTAATTAGCCAAACAAGAGGAGGGGAGCAAAATCCCTCCCCTCCTCTGAGTCAAATAGGGAATTGGGCCTAGGACATTCATTTTGGTACAAGATTTTTTTCCTTGCATTTTAAATATTTTCACTTTTTTATCAATTAATCAATATCAATATCAAATACAAAAGATATAACAAGTCTCATCATTAAAAAGTTTCATGTGGTCCAACTTATTCTCTGAAGTTTGTGTGATGCATCATAATCCCACCAAAGAATGAACAAAAATATAAATATAAAACCTTAAATGTTTAAATATAAAAAATTATCAAACTAATTTTTAGTTTTTAAAATTGATGGTGAGCCAATGGTCTTATAGTTTAGTGGCATATAGACTTCTTTATAAGTAAGAAGTCACAAGTTCAATCCCACTTATAATTTTAGGTAGGTCCTATCTAATTCAAAAAATAATTGAAGGTGATAATTATAAATAATTTAGAGTTAAAGGAACCAGATTTGATTTTTTGTTGTTTGTTTTTTTTTGGCCTTTATAATTCTAGAAGGGGAAAAACGCATAAGTGTCATGAAGATTCATAAGAAGGTTTCACAGTTACTTTAAGCAGGGCCATAGATTTCCCAACAAAGTGTATGTAATAAGCAAATCATGAAATAAGGAATAAGAGAATCATTGTAGTTGCATGCAAGACTATTATCAGCAACAGGGTAAGAAATAAATCACTGTGGGTGGGCCAGCCAAATAATGGTAGTCCGTGAAACAGATCAAAGTTAGTCAAGAATAAAATTTAACCCTACAGAATCACAGCAGCATGAATATGTAGTTCTAAATCCACTGAAAGGCTCTGGCATCAATGAGACCTGGTTGTGGTTGTGGCATTTACATCAGATTCCTTGTGGAAAAAAGGGCTCAAAAGGGGGGGAAAAAAATCCTTACTTTTGTTGCAGCACCACTCAGCGGAGTGCTAGATCTCACAGTCATCATCCCCATTCACCAATAACTCAATTCAATCTATTCAAGATCTTTGGTAATGCCAGCAGATGATTAAGCATCATAATCAGAAGTGCAAGAAAGTTAAATGTATTGTGGAATATTAGGGGGGGAAAAACATTGGGGGCATGGATTCGCTCAACTTAGTGGTGTGTGGATTCTCCAATCCAAAACATTCTATAGTCCGCCCTTTTTTCAGGAGATAAAAAATGCTGGGATCTGAAATTTGTGTGTTGTGGGCTTCCAATCTTGACTCTAGATTAATATCCACCAACAATATTGTCATCATGACAAGAATAAACAAGTGTGATTAAGATGACTGCATAAAGGTTAGACATATTAGTATAATTCTGAGCTCTCATGACCTTGTGACATTTGGCACTGTCATGAGCTAGAGAAGTAAAACAAATAAAGTAATAGTTTCCCGAGCAAAGGATGGAATCAACAAGACAATGAAATCTGCAAGAATATAGTGTGGTCCCAGCATATCAGGTTCGGAAACTACCAGCAGTCACTTCCTGGAACAGTTCATCTTAATGGCAAGGCATAGCCTGCTGCATCTATAACCTTACAAATGGTACATCTAGCTTCAGTAGGGCAAATAAAAAATGTTCCTGTGATGCTGCAAAGCAAGCCTGGGACATGTTTTCCAAGCAAAGGATATTCTTGTTTTTTAAGAGCACGGACATTGTGTGCTTTTAGCATTCAAGGAAGTCTCCTGAACAAAGCTTATAAAATGATGAAATCAACTAGACTCCCTATCAGCTCTACCTCAATACTGCATCTTATGAATCGATCCTCTCCGGCAAATTTTACACATTTTTGATAAAAATGTTAACCTGTAATTGGTTAATTATGGGAAGACGGCAAGCAGGGGATGGTAATACACTCCTACTAATTTTCACCGAAGCTGATCAGCAGTTTCTACGCAGAATAACACCCTATAAACAGGCATAATTTATGAATCAGCTGACACCGAAAAGCAGGTTTCAGCTCAACCTGGATTGTGCAAGAAATATTCAAATGATGCATTAACAAGGAATATGATGTAGATATACAGTAATGAGCAACCTAACAAGAAAGTAAGGATCAATGCTTGGCTTGAACATGCAAATCTAACCAGCAGCATTGATAAAGCCTCCAAAGGAATCAGAATTTGAGCCAGCTATGCTAACTACACGTCTACACCAGTATAGTACAGTCAAGTAAACAAGATAACTTTAGTACTCTCTAGGCTCAATATCTACCAAAATCTCTGATAAACTACAGAAGCTCTAGAAAACTGCAATGATATGAAATATTTTTATGTATTTCACATGGCCAACAAACTCCTTTTTTTTTTTTTTTTATCTTCTGGGATTAACTTTTAAGATCAGAGTAGAATGCCACACTTAATTTGTGGCTTATAAAAGGAAGAATCATTGATAAGACTATCAATTCCTGAGCAATAATTATGTAAAGTAACAGAGATGTGATCCTGTGTGGTAACACAATTGGCATCCAAAGTATCACCTTAGGTGACATCCAAGATGAATCCCTATGTGATAGTCAAGTCCTACATGGCAATATATGTGGAAACTATGTCTTAGGTTGCATGTTATGTCATCAAGCCATTCAAAGTCATGTCATTCAAGTAGAGGAAAACTCAAGTAAAGATATTCATAATTAAGAGGTTATAATATGTGTTGAGAGTCTAAATCATTATATTAAAAGCCCAATACACAAGTATACATTTGGAGGAGGTAAATTGGGTCATAATCTTTCGTTAAACCCAAATGCATATTTTATGTTTTATTCTCCTTTTAAGGTGAAGGCTTCAATTGAACCTATAGATTGGGTTTGGGTATCTTAGGCCTAGAGGATTTTCAAATTTGAGAAAAATAAAGTTGCATCCAAAAGGCAATGGATCTTTTTAAGTGCTGGAATTAATGACAATGCCTATAAGATAGACCTCCCTAGCTCCTATGGGAATATGTCAGTTACATTCAACGTCATAGACATTTTTTTATTTGATACATATGATTTGAGGACGAATCCTCTTCAGGAGGAAGGGAATGATAGGAATTAGTGGACAAGTCAAAATCCAACATTTAGTACCTTTGATTTATTACCAAGTATTAGAAAATTAATGACTAGATCCAAAGCTAAAAAGATGAAAAAGCCCTAAATTCATTAATTAGGCATATTCTAAATGATCAAGAAGTCTTGAAGGCAAATGGAGTTTTAGAAGACTAAAGAAAGACTCTTAGCATATTGGGTCTAACCCAAGACACTCAAGTCCATGACTCTAATTAGTTTAATTAATGTTATTTTATTTTAAATTTAAGTTTAGAGGCAAATTATTAGTTCATGAACACAAGCTTTCCTGGTGAACTAAACTTTTACCGGTAAAACATTTGTGGCTAAATGTACTAGGACATCACTATATCTCCATATGCAATATTGAATACCCCACTGGTGTAAATTACAAATGCTTCACCATGGAGAAATCATTCTAAACTTGCACAAACCGTGACAAAATTAAGCAACTATGCTGCTATAAAGATGTTATGCATAAAGGAGGTAAAACAATTTAGTAGCCCCTTGATAAGTTTTGGTACTATTAGAGGCTGAGGCGCCACCACTGGAAGTAGAAATATTCTAAAGAATTTCTTTCTCCTTCAGTCACCTGCTTAGATGTTTTTTTTTTTTTTTTTAATTTCAATCATATGCACACTGTAACAAACTAGAAGAACTTAAAAATGACTACAAACGTGTCGTTATGCAGACCCCAAAGTATAAATTATTATGCTAACCAGTCCATGCTTGATGACATTCTTGTCATTTGAAGACATTAGATCAATTGCAGAGATAATAGCTGAACCAAAATGAATGGTCATAAATGTATGCTCATATTTCTTTGCTACAGTAATTGCTCTGTTATACATGAGAGATTCCATTCTCACCAATTATGCCAGTTTATATTCTAGATTACAGAGATGTAAGATAATTAACCATTTAAAATCTGTCCACACCGGTAGTGAAAGAAGGTTAATAACAAAACGAAAGGTAAGTGGCTTTCCTGGCAATCCAAGAAAGCAAATATATTTAGGTCATTTCCCACATGTAATGCCTTCATCAGAGGCCTCCTATGGCTGACAGGATACTCCCGATCATTGTTCCCATGGCATTACATAGAGAGAATCAATGAGGAGTCTAAATTTTCACAATTTGCAAAAATGGCCTTCAATCCAGCTTTGTCCGGGCAATTTCCTCAGTCCGCCTGTTATGTTATCTCTCAATTTCTTCACATCATCCCACCTGCCATCACTAGCATAGATATTAGAAAGCATAACCCTATAAACACTATTATCAGGACTGCTCTCAAAAAGCCGGTGAGCTATGGTTTCTGCTAGCTCAGAATTTCCAAATGTATTGCAGCATGATAGGAGAGCTCCTAAGATGCCTTTGTCAACTGGTTCTGGCAAGGACTGAATGAGATTGTAAGCCTCTTCTAATTCCCCCGCACCCCCCAGAAGTTTCACCATATAAACATAATGCTCAGGTTTGGCTTCAATGTCAAACTCATCTTTCATCCTTCTGAAAAGCTGCTGGCCATCTTGGACTAGGCCAGCATGGCAACAAGCACAAAGGAGAGCAGAGAAAGTGGACTCATCAGGCACTACACCTTTATTTAGCATCTTATTAAATATCCTGAAAGCCTCAAACGCACACCCATGCAAGCCAAGGCCTGAAATTATTGAATTATAAGAAATTATATTCTGCTTTGGCATCAACTTGAAAACTCTAATTCCTGAGTGCAAGAAACCACACTTTGAGTACATGTCCACAAGAGCAGAAGAGACCATGACATCTGATCCCAATCCATTCCGAAGAGCATAACCATGTATTTCACGACCGGGCCCTACACTTGCTGACTGAGCAATAGAAGCCAATACACTAGCAATTAAAATAGAGTCTGCCTTCTTGTCTTTCATGTTCAATTCCCTGAAAAAAAGCAGTGCCTTCACATAATCTCCAGCCTGACAATATCCAGCAATCAGAGCAGACCATATAACTAAATCAGGTTGGAATATACTTCCAAAGACTTTATAAGCTGATGTCATGCACTTACATCTCGAGTACATGTTCACCAGCAAACTTACTACATGAGAATTAGAATCAAACCCACTTTTCAGACTCAAACCATGTATTCCACGACCAATTTTCAGCAAGCTAGAATCTGCCACACTTAAAAGCAACCCAACTATTGTATATCCGTCTGGCTTCTTCCTAGCTCGCCGCATGGAATTAAATGTTTGCATCCCTTTATCACACAAACCAGAATACCCATAACCAGTAATCAATGAATTCCACAGAACCAAATCGGGTTCAGGAATCCCATCAAACACTCCACTGGCTTCATTAACAAGACCCAACTTAGAATAAGCTGTAACAAGTGCACTGCAACAAATAGAGTCCGATCCTAACCCAGAGACTATAGCCCTCCCATGAGCAAGTCTCAGGGTAGCAGAATCGAAATTCTCAGAGCATGCACGTACAATACAAGCATAAGTGAAATTGTCAGGTCTTGTGTTAGTTGTAAGCATGTTGTTGAACAGAGCAAATGCATTTCCAAATCTCTGGGCTTGAGCGTAAGCTCGAATCAATGAATTCCAGAGGTAGACGCTTCGAGTGGAAGTTTTGTCGAACACATGGTGGGCAGAATTAACGTCACCATTAGCTGCATACTGCCTTATAATTTGAGTCGCGTAAAACGGGTCTTCCGAGAGATGAGACTTAATCACCAAAGCATGCAATTTCTTGGCCTTCGATAAAGATTTGCAAATTTTGCAGAGTTCGGATTGGAGCAGATCAAAATGACTCTGCATTAAATGAATAGCTTCAGTTCACCATACGCTTTCTTGATCCTGGACACATAATCAACAAGAGAGACCAGCGATAAGGCTAGCGACAAGACAACTTGATGTTTTCGCAAGAAAATGGAGTTCGTTTCGTTTCAGCTGAATAGTCACCATATCCAGTAAACCAGCAAGGAGTCACTTATTTCATTCCATAGTTTCGTCACGTCCATAGCGATATTTCTCCAGTTGCACGCAGTCCCCAGAAGTCTTGTTCTTCGAGGTGCTTATTATGGAGTTCCAAGTTAATACTCCTCCACCAGCATCAAATTGGTGATGAAATGTGCTGACTGAACCTTTTCTTTCAAAGTCAAAGTTGCTTTCAAGGAGCTTGAAGGGCAGTAATATAGTTACTAATTTTTTTGCAGATAATAATATAGTTATTAAATTAAAATATACATTACTATATTTTAATTAGAGAATTGTATCTAAATATTAGGTAAAAAATATCTTATAAAACAAGTTACTATATAGAAGTGGTCAAGTATTATTTTTCTCAATATGACATTGTAACTCTCCCACATAATCTTAGTGCCTATTTGGATTTTTGCTGGTTAAAAATTAATTTATTAAAAATTTATTTAATAAAAGTTAATTTATTAATATTTATTATAATAAAATTTATATTTGAATACATTTTTTAAAAAGTTAATTTAGTAAACTAAAATTTATTTAGATTATATGGAATGAAAAGTTCTTTGAGTGTATTGTTACAAAAAAGACATTAATTTTTATAATTTGTAATGTTTTTATACAAATACAACATATTTAAAAGGTTTGAAAAATATATGTGATAAAAATTTTAAATAACAAAAAATTTGATATATTAAATTATAATAAAAAATATAAAGTTTGATACATCGAACAAAAATTATATAAATTTTTTAATACTAAAACTTAGCGAAATTAATTTTTGAAAAAGTTGCTAAAAAAAATTGACCTGAATATTTATTGCTCATAAGGGCTTAGGATTTGAGGGGGCACTTAGGTCCTGTGGTGTCAATAAATAAAATGAGCAAAAGACTTAAATGCCCTTAATAAAATCCTCTCCCTCCTTTTCCTACCTCACTCCACGCAATTTCTACCTCTAACATTGTTTTGCCGTAGATTTGTGTTTCTGACAACAATGATAGGTGGTTGAAAACATAGCGATGATAGGTGCGGTGGTCATGATTTTGATGACGATGATGACAAAATATAATAAGGTGTGATCTTGGTTTTGAAGATGCTGGAAGCAAAAGTGAAGAAGGTTTAAGCCTTAAAGATTTTTCTGATTTTTCTAATACTTTGTCCTCTCCCATTAGAAGCCTTCTTTCCAGATCTGACCTTGCTTCTACCTTATTTGATTCTCGACGACGAGATCGACAAGGCTCTTTAGTGTTCATCCTCTCAATCTGAAGTGATGGGTGCTTTCTTTTACTCTGACGAGCTTTAATGTTCGTGCTATTCACTTTACTTATGTCCTTCAGATTCTTGCAACTCTCGCTATTTGCATAGGCTTCAACTTTCCTTCATTTCACTAGAAGAGTTTTTGCCAAGATTTATTATATTGTTTTTGCAAATTTTGTTGGATTTATGGCCATCTCAAATCTAGATAGTTTCCTTTACGAACAATTTCCTCACCCTAAAGGCATCTTCACATTATATATCTTTATGTGTTAACTATTGCAAGAATTCTAAGGGTGTTAAATTGGAAAAACATTTCAACTCTAAATTCACACATCTATCACCTGTTTGGTATGAGAGATAAGTCTAAAATGATTTATTGAAGAATAGGATGAATAAGGTAATTAGCTACTAGGGTGTTCTTTGCAAATCAAGGTTCCAAATAGATATCACAATTAAAGGGATCACTTGAATTTTTTGCATTATAGAGAGATTTTAAGTGTATATTAATAAACTTGGGAGTTCCTTAGAAAGTATTTATTAAATTATTATTATTGTCATTATGTTGCTATATAGTTTACTTCATCAAATCTCATTGCTAGCCAACAGACGAGCTTAGTTTTAAAGGAAAGACATAATGCTAATAATGGATGGGTCTTAGAGCTTAAAAATATAGGAGATGTTTTAGTAAGAAGAAGTAAATCTCATGATTGTGGATTTTGTCATCATCGAAATGACTTCATACTTAAGCCAACTCAATAATTTTGCTGATGGTGCTAACCTAATCTCACTTGGACTTCCATGATTATATTGAAGATACATGTCTTGATGGACTCAGCATCTCAAAATTTAGTATTGTGCTTCATGTATAGCAACCATATATATACGAGGTTCACTTAACTTTAGAAATGTACTTGTAGGTTATGGATACACAAAAGGACTTGATTAGTGGAAAGGATTTTATGAAGAGATTTTTGCCCTTTTGTAGTTGGTATTTTACTCTTGGTCTCCAAGGATTGCAAGAGCAAGATAGTTCTGACTTGTAACATAGGGTTACAAAGAAGGAGTTAGTTCAAAATAGATGAAATTTTTATTGTGTAAGTTAAGGTCAATTAATATCGATCGGGAAATCATTCCCAATGATGAATATTTTAAGAGTTGTGATATTGTCTCTAAGAACTTCATTGGGTTTAGATTTGAAGAGTTTTGAAGAATCATTTGTTAGCCCCCTTGAAGGATTCGCTTTAGATGTGCATGAATGCATACATTGAACCATTATGTAAATTGTAGAGATGGATTGTACATGAAAATTGTAGAAATGTAAAAATATGTTGTTGTTTTATGATAAATTAATTTGTTCATATTCAATTGTTGTTCTTTATGCTAAATTAATTTATAGACATGATAATTGTTCAATGATAAATTAATTTGTTGACATTTGCTTTGGACATGCATGAATGTATATGTTGAATCATTTTGTAAATTGTACTGATGAATTGCACATGAAAATTGTAGAGATGTAAAAACATGTTATTGTTTAATGATAAATTAATTTTTTGATGTTCAATTATTGTTCTTAATGCTTAAGGTTGGTGTGATTAAGCTTTATATATAACAATAGTAACAATTGATAATATTCATTAGTGTTTTTATGAAAAATGAGCAAATTTGCATAATATCCATTTGCATATTCAGAACACCCTTTGATTTTTTAATGAAAAATAAGCAAATTTTTAGAATATCCATTTGTATTTTCAGAAAATCTATAGGTGTTTTCATGAAAAAAAGAAAAAATTTTAGAATATGTATTTACAATATTCTAAAAATAAAATATTGGTGCAATATTCAAACCTCAAGTTCTAAACCATATTCAAATATGCATTTTGGATATTTTGAAAATGTAACTTAGCTTCCATTTATTCAAATAACCATTTTTGATATTCTAAAAAATTACATTTAGTGTCATGTTTTAGGACTATATGCGAGTATCTTCATCCATATGCTACTCTTCTTTCACAATGAACAACCATCATTCAAAAAAATACAATTTTTCTTCCATTTATTTGAATACCATTATGGATATCTTGAAAATTTTACACTTTGTATCATGCTTTAGGACCATATGCAGGTATTTTCAACTATATGTGACTCTTTCATGACATGCAACTACCCTTCAAGGTAATTCAATTTTTATTACATTTATTTAAATATGCATTTGTAATATTCAAATATATGAAAGAAAATTAAATTTCATTGAATAGCAATAGCATATTATGGAAAAAAAGTTAGCTATGCATAAGGGATTTTAACAAGGAATATTCGAATATGCAAATGTGATATTCAAGTATATGAAAGAAATATCGCATATGCTGAAGAACAATAGCATCTCGTGAAAGAAACATCGCTTATGTATTCAAAAGTGTCCATAAGGTATTTTAATAAGGGATATTCAAATATGCAAATATGATATTTGAATATATAAAAGAAACATCTCATATGCTAAAAAGTAATCGGATATCATGAAAGAAACATCACATATGCATCCAAAGGTGTTCATAAGCAATTTTAATAAGGGATATTTGAATATGCAAATGTGATATTGGAATATATGAAGGAAACATCGCATATGCTAAATAATAGTTGTATATCATGTAAGAAACATTGCATATGCATCTAAAGGTGTTCATAAGGGATGTTAATAAGAAATATTTGAATATGCAAAAGTGATAGTTGAATATATAGAAGAAACATGGCATATGTCGAAGAGCAGTCACATATTGTGGAAGAACTATTGCATATGCATCCAAAGGTGTCTATGAAAAATTTTAACAAGAGATATTTGAATATATAGAAGTGATATTTGAATATATGAAAGAAGCATTGCATATGCTTCAAACGTGCTTCAGGGCTTAATAAATTGCCACCAAGAATCTTGTTTGACATATTAACACTAAAGGACCTTATATTAAATATTGAAATGAAATTGTTGACAATGAAGGCCTTGTGAAATTGTTTAGCAATTTATGCCATTAAAGGACCTCATTTCAAAAATGTTCCCAAGTCTATATTAGTAGTTAAATTTGTAACTAAGTATTTTCTAGCAATTTTCCCATAATTTTTTAATCTAAATATAAAATTTAATCTCTAATTGAATTGTGCACACTATTAATCTCTCGAAGAAGTTATACTTAGATGCGCTTTCAAAATGTAAGTTTGAAAAGCAAAAAAAAAAAAAATCCCACATTTTTTTATTGAAAGCACATTTAACAACATTTGAAATTGACTTTTTAAATAAGCTTCATAAGAGATATTGAAACCTAAACAACATCTTGATCTCGATTCCATTTCAAAAGTCCTTTTTGAAATTCTAACTAGAAACCAAACAAGCCTTTTAGTAGACCTGAATAATCAAATTGCAATTTAGAATTATAATAAAAGTATAATGCAATAATATGATAATTAGAATTAGGAATATGGGCTAGGCTTGACGGGCCACTAAACTTGACCTAGGTAGGCCTTAGAAAAAGGGCTCAAACTTAGGCTACCCGCCAAGGCCATTTGACCTTTTTTCTTAAAAAAAAAAACCAATGCTTGATCTCGAGTATGATGCCTTGATTGTAGAGATGTTTCAGTATTTCTTCAAGGCTATTGGTAAGATCTATTAAGTATGAATCCTGCATAAAGAAAACACATGTTATGCTTACCGTTACATGTTTATGCTTTATACTAATACTTCGTTATATTTTTAACTAATAAGCTTTAGTTTGAGAAGTCTATGAATATTGATGTACTAGAATTTGTTATAATTATAATTTAATTTTGTATGTTCCATTAAGATGATCTATATAATCATTGTCTCTTGAATGTTATCTATTGTGTAACATTCAGAAAAATTTAA